TAAAAGAGAAGAATAGTCATTATATATAAATCATATCTGTGTTTTTATTTCTTATTTGTCTTGATAATGGGATAATGATCAGTTCGTCGATTAATATCTATTTATAGTTACTGAATACGAAGGACCACCAAATAAAAAAACTTTGAACATTGATCTAATTTGTATTTTCAATCTAATAGTTATTGTGTTATTCACTATCATACGTTAGATATTTATCAGACAATCGTGTTCGTCACCTTATCATAATTAATTTATTGATGTCACAAGGAAGACAGTAGAAACAAACTTCATTGAGTCAATCATTAGCAGATATTTTATTTTATATATTTTGCAATTAATAAGTGGAACACTCTTTTTTTTTAAGAAGAAAAAATGTGATATATATATATATATTCTTTATTATTAAATAAAACATAAAAAGTTATAGATGAAAATATGAATTCTATTTTATCTTAAATTAAAAAGGAAAATAAAATTTGTTGATAACATCATAAACTTTCACTGTTCGATCTATTAAAATCTTGAATCATTATTATCAATTTCACTTGGATGAAAACTTCGATTAGGAAATTCTATTGTTGATGGTAATCGTATTTCATTATTTGTATTAATAATTTCTATTTTTCTCAAATGAGCATATAAACCATATTGATTAACTCGTTTCTTGGGTCCCCAATCATCTCTTGGTGAATTATTTTGTGTTAATGCTTCTAAATATCGAGGTTGTTTCATATAATCATTATCTTCAACAAGTTCATTTCCATTTCCTACACCAATCGGATTTGCCTATTAAAAGAAATAATTATTTAAAAAAAAGAAAGAAAATAAATAATTATTCTTACAATTTGTTTTAAACCAATATTTTTATATTCTTTTATATAATTATAAATATAAACAATTGGAATAGGTATAATACAACCAACAAAAATTAACCATCCAAGTATAGTACTCCATTGAGGATATTCATAAGCTTCAAAACCAGCACCTTCGTTATTTTTCATAGGTTCAGCCGTTAATAATTTCGATAATATTATTACCTTAATAGAAAAATAAGAATTTTTATTTTTTATTTTTGATTGAAAATAATGTTCAACATACAAACATTAGAATCGGAGAAATAATACACCATGTAAGAAAAAGATAATATTGTGCTGCTCGTTTTCCTAACATCATTTTAACATCATTCATAAAACGATTAAAACCTAAAAAAAACATTTTAAATTTTACCTAATCTATCACTGAAGTCTTTGAATACGAAAGTATTTTATGGATTCTTTTAGTATTAATTTCGAAATGTTCGATTATCTAATTACTAAAGATACGAAAAATCTAGTAGAAAAATAATTCTTAATTTTCTATTCCTGCCAAATATTTATTTATATACTTCTATATGATCTGAAAGAATGAAATTTACCGTAAATATAAGCGATTGTATAAACCTCAAAAAAACCGACAACAACCATTGATACATTAGCTGCATATTCCATAAGTAATTCGAATAAATAAATTCCACCCTATGAAAAAAAAAATGGTTTATTTCTAATGAATTTAACAATAAAATAAATACAAACCGGACAAGTAAATGGTAAACTAATTAAAAATGAAACAACACAAGTTATTACAACAGCATGTGGTCGTTTAGATCGAAATCTTGGAAATAATTCTATGATTGATGTTATTGGAACATCAGTTAATGCAAACTAAATTTATTAAATATTCAATAAAATAAAATTCTTTTTTAAAAAACTAAATACCTGTGAGCCAAGTCCAAGTGCAAGTAACATAAGAAAAAAAAGAATTGAAAAAAATGAACTAGCTGGCATATGTGATATAGCTTCAGGATATGTTATAAATGCTAGACCAGGACCAGATGATTCAGCATATTTAGCAACTGTTTCTTTTGATTCTGCTGCTAAAAAGCCAATCGTAGAAAATACAGCAAAACCAGCAAATATTCCTGTAAAACAATCACAGGATACAACAATACACATTTGTCTAATTAATAAAAATATTAAATAAGATTTTTTTATTGAAATAAAAAAAAAGATAAGTTTACCGAAAAAAATTATTATTAAATTTATTCGATGATGAATATGCCATTAATGAACCAAAACTGAGACCGAGTGAGAAAAATACTTGTGAAGCTGCTGCTTGCCATGTCTAAATATAGATGTTATATCCTGATTAAAAAATGCACATTAACACTTTTAAAAGAGATATACTACTATTTCTCAAAAACAGAACCCTAACGAATTGGAGTTTTTATATCGTCGATAAATAAAATAATACCCCTAAATCAATTTTTCATCCTCATTACATCGTTTTTGTAATCTAAACTTTATGATCATATTTTAGAAAAATAATAATATTACTTCAAATTTCGCAACGAGATCCCAATTTGGAATAATATAATATTTAATTCCATCTACAGCACCAGTTAATGTTGCACTTTGAATAATTAATATAAGAAGTACGATATATGGAAAAATAGCTGTAAAATAAGCTACCTAAATGTAATTATATTATGAAAATGATTCTAAGATAAATGAATAAATAAAACAAACTTTTCCAGAAGATTTAACACCACGAATAATACATAAACCAACAATAATCCATGAAGCTAACAATGCAAGAGTACTATATAATTGAGGTGTTCCAAAATCTTCAAATCTTTCACTTTTTCCTAATAACAATTTACTAAAATAAATAATATTTTTTCGTATATTTATCAATTTTTATTTATTTATCTTACTAAAAAAATTGTTCTGTAGCTGTTGATCTATCAGTAAACTTTATTTCTACACATCCATAATCTGTTTGATTTTGATATTGTGAATCTGTACAATTATACATAGTATTATTGGATACATGTGGTGAATTACCACTTCCAGGAACAAAACATTTTACATTATCATTCCACCAATAACCACATTTTTTCCATAAAAGATTTGTTCGAAATGATGATACAAAATAGAATAATGCCCAACTTATTATTACATTATAATACAACATACAAAGAACACTATTGATGATCATTGCAAATCCAACACCTAGAAATTTAAATAATTAGATTATCGAGTTCTATTTTCTATTGAATTCTTTATATTAATAACGTTAATTCTACGTTGTTCTATATCACTGATAATGATAGACAATAGTTTGTTATTACAAAAATGAAGGAAAAACTGTGTATGATAATATTAATCGGAATTAAACTTATATTTACCTTGCCATCCTTTAGCTAGTATAAAGGCTGTTGCTGGACCACGACTTGAAAATTGTCCCAATGCTAATTCAAGATAATATATTGGTGCACCAATTAAAAAATAAAGAATAAAATATGGAATTAAAAATGCACCTTAAATTAAATAAAAATAAAAATAATAGCAAGATACTAGATAAAAAAGAACTGTATACAAACCACCACCACTTTTAGCAGCTAAATATGGAAAACGCCATACATTTCCAAGACCAACTGAATTTGAAATTAGAGAAAATATAAATTCAAGTGGACGATCCCATTCATGACTATCTTTATCCTTAATTTTAAAAAAAATGTATTCAATTAAAAATCTTTTTTTTCTCTATTTATATAAAGTATTATTGAATTACTTCTTCTGATGTTGCAATAGTATCTAAATCAGTCTTAGTTGGTTCTACAGCATGATTTTGTCGACGAAACTATAAATATTATTTAATTAATGAAAATTGAACGAGCAGAAATGAATTACCCTAGCAACCAGATTATTTAACATTTTCAGTAGGATAAAATATTCAATAAGTAAAAAGTTAGTAAATGGTAGTCAATAAAGATATTCGTCTTTCTTTTTATATTTAATGATTATTTGTTCTGATATAAACTTGTTCTATTGTCGACAAGTGCACTACTAAAAAATACGAGGTCTTTTCTTGTGTCATCCAATTTAAAATAACAAAAAAACTACGTATGATTCTTTTCTTTTCATTTTCTTGATGAAATAAAACTGCAAGGATCTATTCTGTAAGCAAAATAAAATAACTTATTGTATTAGATAACAACGTATGTAATTCTTTTTTACTACACATTCGATAAATAAAAAATATTTTAAGATAATAAACTTCATTAAAGTTTTTTTTATTTTATTGACTCTGACGCACAAGAGATGTTTTTATATACTTCATGATAAGATTATACGTTTAGTATGCATTTAATTATCAACAGAAAAATCGAGTAGATAAAAGGATAATCAATAAAATGAATCATAAAATATATTTATAAGTCAAAGTACAAATATAAGACATTTTATTTTAAAACAACGAAATATATGAAAATTAACATTAACTGATAGATTTATCTATTTTCATGTTGCTTCTATTATATTGAGGATCAAAATAATACATACATTGATTACCAATGATTATTTTAATGAAAACTTGGCCACGTTCTATGTCACTTTTGTAAGAAACAAATGCAATAGAATATACATTTAATAGTCTGTTATTCGGCTTTTTTCTTTGTTCTATTCAACATCAATATATATATATATATATATTGAATATGATGTTAATTATAAAAAACATGGATAATATAAAGATTCTTATTTTATTAATTTACATTTCATATAACTATAACATATGTGAGTAAAATGGAACAATATTGGGCGCAAAAATTAAGTCAACTGTATTCTATTATTCAATAAAATTCTCTTTCAAGCTGTTATGAGCAAATAGTGAATGATCTTTTCTTTGTGTTCCTAGGATGTTAAAAAAATTAAAAAGATTCTTTATTCTCAATAATTTTTTCTTTGTAACTTAGTCATTTTATGCTTATCAATTAGTAATAAATCAACGTTAGATTTGTATTGTTTTAGATCGAATAATCGTTAAAATATATTTATAAATATTTCGTAATGTTTCTGTCAAATAAATCAAAAAATAAAATTTATTTTTTACTTATTAATTAGGCGTGTTACTTTATCTTTATTTCACTTTATAATAAAGAATAAAGTATTTTCATAGAGTAGCTCAAAAAAAATTATGATATTGTATAGTTAAATATAATATGGAATAGCATATATCATTTCTTGTGTGATCCTTTATTTTGATGATATAGCATATGGAAACGATGATGATGATAATAGAGTTACGCAGTTTGACTAGTTATTAATTTTATTTTCCATTAAAAATTTTGACAAGAAGAAATACTTTATCAAAAATTATTTGTAATATTTCATATTCTTAAAATAGAATAAATTATAAAATAATTGTCAAAAAATAATATAGGAATTTTTAAATATATATATATTTATTCTTGAATAATTTATTACATTTTACATCAATTTAACAAGACATACGATATAAAATAATTGTTTTTATTCTTATTTCTAACAGTTACATACTGATGTAATCTTCTTTCGAACTTCTTTATTCATTTTGTATAATAGACCAATATCAAGCAAAAGACATAACGATGGAAGAATCTCTAATACTGCATAAAGACTAATACTTTGTTGAGATTTATAATCAATTGCAGCTAAAATAGATTTTGGTCCATAACCAACTATATTAAATAGTAAATTCATTATAAATATGTATGTGGTCTTTGATTGATGATGTATTTCACCTGGTTCTATATGTCCAGCTGGATATATTTGAGTATTCATTAATTCATCTTTTTTACATACATTTTCCATGATATAAATCAATAAATGAAGAAATACAGGTAAAGCAAAAAGAAATGCTATACTGTAAATAGGAAAAAATTGTTTCGGAAAAATTGCAAGACATATATAAATATTTGACATTAAAATTTGGGGTAATGGGAGAAGATAACTACATAACCATTGAATGCCAATACACGTTCTAAATATAACAAACTATTATTAATATTATACTTATTTCGGTAATATTGCAAAATAAAATTAGGATTATTCAACAGAAAATTAGAAAAGAATCTCTTTTTATGTATATTCTGCTTGAAGTTACTCGATTTCTATCGAACATAACATAATTTTATAGATAATTTAATACAAAAGACAATATTTTCTCAAAATATCTTTTTCAAGACGTACCCAAACCAAAGATAACTTCTATTTTTCCATTCTTCGGGTCCATTTTGATGTACACAAAATACAACTAACGAATAGGCTACTTGTCCTTGTGCAATATCTTCAAAAAAATGTTGTAAGGTACACACTTGAGCAATCAATACTGTTGTATATGTTGGCGCAAATGGTAACATCGAAAAAATCGAATTAACAATTGCAAAAATAATCATAGCTATGCAAATATTGAACAGAAGCCATTGTCGTTTTGATGAACGAAGTTGATCATGAAAACATCCACCCAGTATAAATAACAAAGCAGCGATGAAAATATTCAAATTTAGAACAAAACGAATTACATGAAAAATCGCATACACAAGTAATTCTGAGTTTGTTGCCATATTTTTGTCAGATAGAATTGACACTACCTTCTCAACTTTGAAAAAAAAATGATAGTATTTTCTCTTTAGACGTACTATTTATTGATGATAATATTTATATGCGTAATTATAAATGATGAGTTCATCAAGTTGAAAGTAACTTTTTTTGTTAAGATCAAATTTATTATAATTTAAGAACTGTCAACATGGAAATTTTTTTTTTCTATTGATAAAAAATATTTCATTATATTTCAAGTTGACTAGATGTCAAAATTGATAAACTATTAAGAAATTTTTTATTTAATTTATAATTCATTTTTAATATGTTTTTCTATTCCAAAAAATGAAGTTGAGAATCTAAGCGAAGATTATTGTAAATTTCATTTGTATTTATAAAATCTCAATAACTATATGAAATATAAAATGACATATATTGTGATCGTATAGTTAAATAAAACTTATCCGAATATGTGAAAACGCGATAGATCAATATGGACTTTTCATAGAAAGCTACTAAACCCCCCTCCATAATAAAAGACCCTCTCGTAATAAAAGGCCCTCCCATAATAGAAGACCCTCTTGCAAAAATAACGTGAAATCCATAATAGAAGACCCGGGTCTTCAAATTAAAAATAAATTTTTAAGTTATCATTTTTTTTTCATTAAATTCTCCATATTATTGTGTGTGTTGTGAAACGAAAGATAGAAAAGAATTGAAAATATAGTAATAGCTCGTTTATGCACATCTACAATATGTTTTCTTCTCGTGAAAATAGACACAAATCGACTAAAATTAAAAATAAGAGGACAATTAGAACGAAAATGCAGAAAATCATATGTGAATACACCCGTCCAATTTAACATAAGGAGCAATAAAAAATTGAAACAACTCAATTTGCATCAATTTGTGAACAAAAAATATTTGCAGTTATTTTTTGTTTTTTTCTATTTTTATCAGAGTCGGAGTTAAAAAGGGCTGAGTTATAACTTGAGTTACAACTTTTGAATTATAAATAATCAACTTTTTGGTGCAAAAGCGATTTTGGTTATAACTTTAAACTGTGGTTATAACATTTAACCGTGGTTAATGTAAGTTATTATTTCAAATCTGTCAACTAGGTAGAGTTTCTATCTCTTTAATATTAGTGAGTAAATGAACCGAAGCCATATTTTACAATATAGTTCATACCATTTTATGATTACCTTCTAAAAAACTCGTAGTATCTCCTGAAATAAAGTTCAATTTTTAATTAAGAACTATCTGTCAAACAGTGGCTTCAGTTCAGTTACTCACTAAGGATAAAGAGAGAGAAATTCTATCTAATTAACAAAATTGTGATAATAACTTATATTAACGATGGTTAAATGTTATAACCAAGGTTGAAAGTTATAACTACGGTTGTAATCATTTTAACTCCCACTCTGATTTTTATTTCATATTTATTAAATAATATAATCATAACAAACGATATTGCCAAAAACTTCACAAAATCTGATATTGATTCTTGGCAGTTTACGCTCACAAATTCGTATTAGAAGACCACCCCATAATAGAAGACCTCTTTAAAAGTTTGATCCGTAAAATGCAATAGTAGACCAGGGGGTCTTTTATTATGGAGGGGGGTTTAGGTGACTACTTCTCGATAATTTTGATTATCATGAGGTGCTATCATTATTATGTTTACCGTTTAATATTCATTTTCAATCAATTCAAAACCATCAGGATTAATGCAGGAAATAAATAAGTAGAATACTATTGATGAAAACAATGAAAAAGAAATCTTTAAAAATCTAATCTATATATAATTATGCTGAAAACTCATATTTAAAAAAATATATATTATCATATAAATGGATTAAGATCAAGTTTGTTTTTATTCAAAACAAATATTAATTCAACAACTGGTGAATAAAAGATTCACATTGATCATCCAACGAGCCTATCTACTGTTGATAATGGTCAGTCTTTTATCGATCTGCACAAGAACCATAAACAAGAAATACCGAGTGAAAGCTTCTATTAAATGTTAATACATTCTATTTTATTAAGTCTCTGGGCCTTTTATAATATATACAATGTAAGCAAATTGATGTCATAAAAATCAAAAGCATAAATCCTATATATATCTATATCAAAATATTTATTGTTATTTTATGCAGAACTATGAAGTTGAAAGAAATGTTGAGAGCAACGAATTCGGCTTTTAGCTGTTTGAAACAATAGTCGAATTTTTATCTTTCTCTCCCAATAAATTGAATTATTTATAGTATATAGAACATCAAGTCAATAGTCGTCAATTAGTGTATCTATAAGGAAGAAACGAATTCAAACATATCAAATTTCATTCTTCATTACTATATTTTCTATTTTAACACGTGTCTCTCTTGTTATATATATATATATATATATATTATTGTAATTTTCATTTGTTCAGTTATATTGTGAATTTGTGTATTTCGCCTTTCTAGCAGTAGTAAATGTTGTCAAAATACCACAAATTTATCATCACAAGAAAAGGATGCAAAATACATTAACATAATATATGTTTTGTTTAAATGACTAATCTTCACATCTCACAAGTCAATAGTATGTAAATTAAAATAATCAGATGCTGTTCATTCATTAAAGTTATGTGATACATTACAAGCTATTAATTACGTAATTTTTACGACACTTCTGATGTGATCAGTAATGGCATTAACGTTTTAGAACAGCTTTACATACATTCATCGATGAAAAACGTATATCCGAACCCTGAAATGATATATTTTCAACCCTTTATTTGAAGTTATTTATCTATGGCTCAAAAAATGACGCATATGTACTAAACTGATGTTATTCGAAAAATAAAATATGAAAATATGAAAGCAGCTCAAGTGAAAAACTATCCAGTTTCAGATGATTCTCCTTATGATAAAATATATTCTACTGAAGCTCGTAACTACGTCCTAGTAGAATGATTGTATTGATAACGATAAGAATTTATTTAACAATATACGCGGTGAGAATATGAAAAATCAAGATTGAATACTGTTAATATATGATTAAAAAGTATTAACAAAAAAAAAGCAATAAAATCTTAACCTTAAAGCGAGCTTAAAAAATCATTTCATTACTTCAAACTAGAAAATGTATACAAACATCAACTAGTAATTTCTCAAAAGTACTTAAAGAAAACTTCAAACTGATACAACAACTAATTAACAATTGATTGCAAAACCCGGTGGAACTCATCATATAAAATGCTATTCTCTTATAGCATACATCATCCAAATTTGTTAAAGAGAATTTCCAATTTATTATCAACGTCAAAAGATAGTCTTCTGTTATTAAAATTCACATATAGTGACTAGATCAATCTTATCGTCAACAATTCAATGAGCATGCTGAGATTATTCCATCATGCTACTAGTTGGCCTAATCCATTAGAATACGTTGTATAAATTATTTGGAACAAAATATTATATATTGCTGGTTAATTGATTTACGTCATAGACTTTTTTAAAGAAATTCGAAAATTCTTATATTTTTTTATGCTATTCGACTATCTATACATATACTTTAGCAACATGATTTTCATTCCATAGACAAAACAAAAATCAATGAACAGTAAATTAAATGGTATTCCAAAATTTAATATGATACATACACAACTTCTACAAAACAATATATATTGTTTCTAACAGTAACTAGAAATATCAGACGGAGAATTACTCAAATTTTGAAACAAATTTTCATCAAACAAGAACAAAAATTTTCAGTTACAGGAAAACCCAAATTTAGTTATATAGAATTAATCAGAGAAGCACTGAATTTTACCTGTTCAGATCATGAAAGAGAAACAATGCGAATAACATTTCGTCATATCAATGAAACATTTATCGCGGAAGAATACTAACAATGTATTTTGGATTATTCTCCTATTAATAATTCAGTTGCAATAAATCGGAAAAACATTTAAGAAGCAGAATGAAAAAACTAATTTTACCCAATAAAGTAAATTTAGCAGGAAGAATTTTAGCGTATTTAAAAATTCGGATCTTAGTTAAAATAGAACATCAGGTGGACAAGACATATTTAGATTTTAATTAATGAATTTACATGCTGATATGAATTTTATTAAAAATTCAAAATACCAAACGGGAAAAATGGTTATGTACTTTAAAACTGTTCTTCCTTCTATCGAAAGGAATTCACTGAAAATTAATTGTTGAATATCAATATGTGTTTTTAAGCAGAAGGTTCTTATTTCTACACTCAATGTACTTTTGAAAGATGATGTCAAAAAAAAAGGAGAATGAATTTTTATTAAAATATATAAATAAATACCATCCGAAAAAATAATATATTGTGTGGTTAAATTACTAGTATGAATATTAGCCGAGTTGCAATCAGACTAACTATAGTAGACCAACGTAAGTCATTCCTAAGTTTTCTCGCCCTCTGATGATTAGACTTGTACGCTTGATCAGTTATATGGTTTCTAGAGACGTGCAGAATCTTCCTCATGCGCCAGCGCGCAGGGAGGAGAATTTTTTTAAAATTGCATTTTTCGGGGTAATTTTTGAAGATTCTGGGGAACTTTTCAAAATTTACTTCGGGGAATTTTTTGAAAAAATTTTCCCGGGAAGGGAAATTTTTGATTTTTGGGAAGATTCTGCACCTCTGGGTTTCTAGTATTTTCCTATAACTTTCTTTCTTTTCAAAGTATATCAGTGAATAGAAATTGTGCAACATATTTGATTTTCTATTAATTGTACCATACTATGTAAAAGACGTTCTATATTGCTATAGAAAGATGCTCACTGACACTGTCAAAATTATGCTAAAACTTTGTCAATATTGTCCGGCATATTTTTCTATATAGAGCTGAATTGTTATACTTATCATAAGTTTTACTGACGGAATTTGGGGATCTTTTCAAAGATTTCTGTATGGTATAGCTAATATTTTTGTTTTAAAGTATAGTAGAAAAATGACATATTCGTTATTTTTCTGTCGAAATAAGTCGATCTTGAAA